GATTTTGTTGATTTAAGTACAAAAAAAATTGTTTAAATGTTGCCGTAGAGAGGAGAACGCTTTTATCAATGGGCGTTGAAATATAAAAGATTTAAATTTATATTTAACTCAAAGTCAAATCTTCAGTCAAAAACTTCACGCCTTGCTCTTCCATTACATTTAAAATAACTTCATCTTGTAAGGAAACTTTGAAGCGGGACCTCTGCTCGTGTCTTTCTTCTGGTCCAAAATTTTGTGATATGAAGGGTGAGATAGGTGTCGGCTGGGTCCTGTACAGCCTTGCGAACTAATTTGGCCTTCTCTGGGCATAAAGATAGAAGTTTTAGAACAAAAGCGAGGTTGTATCTGCCTCGTTTTCGTGCGGCCATGCTTTCCGCTGGAATCAACAAATTAATGTTTCCTCCCTCTGAAGCAACAAGATCGGCAGCCTGCCTTCTTCGTGCTCTGCGACTTTTTTTGGAATATAGAAGTACAGGGCGTCTCACTGACATTAAGGCATTTGGGACGGCTACACTTGTTTGTTTATCGAGCCAATCCACATATTTCCGTTGAAACATCTTGTTACGACACGCCGCTTTGCCACCCAGGCCTATCGTTCCCAGCTAGCTCACGGGGAAGTCAGGGGTGTTTCCGATCCGATAGACCAGGGGACGGATGAACAAAAACAAAACGAGGGGGAACGTTGTGAGTTGCTGCGGACATCGCAACTCTACATTTATACCCAATACTTAGTCAGTATGGCTCTCCTCCGGCAGACGCCGCTAATATTAAACGACACGATAAAGAGTGCGTGCGAGAGAGACAGAAAATCAGTCTGAGCGTGACGTCTTGTTGCTTTTGGCTATACAAATTTTCCGATCTGATCCAGATTCCGCAACCGGATAGATATGGTCAATCCCTATGATTCTGTTTTTATGATTTTTAGTTTTCCCGAATCTGCAATATTGTGGATGCAACAGATTTTCGTCCTTTGTGGGGGCGGAAGGGGGTGGGGCGAAATTTGGAGATATACGTTTTATAGTGAGATCTAACAGAAATGCGGATACCAAATTTGGTTACTCGAGCCTTAATAGTCTCTGAGATTTGTTAATGCCTCAGATTTTCGTCTTTTGCGGGGGCGGAAGGGAGTGTGGCAAAATTTTGAGAGTCCGATATCACAGGAGTGTGCATACCAAATTTGGTTGCTCTGGCTCTTATAGGTTCTGAGATCCTTGAACTCATATTTTATAATTGGCAAAACCAACCATGAAACCAGTGTGTTAGAGAGAGACAGAGCGAGAAAGAATGAAATTATTTCTTGATTCTGGCTATAATAATTATACGATCTGGTTCAGATTTTGCACTCTAGAAGATATGGTCATCCTCTACGATTCTGCGTTTTCTGTTTTCTCGTATCTTTGAATTTGTGGATGCCACAGATTTTCGCCCTTTGTGGAGGCGGAAGGGGGCGGGGCAAACTTTTGAAATATACTTGTAGCAGTGACATATCACAGAAGTCCGGATATAAAACGTCGTTGCTCTAGCTTTTATAATCTTTGAGCACTAGGCGCTGATAGGGACGGACGGAATTCATTTTTAAGAGATTCACTGAATTCCTTTCGGTTACTCATATTTCACAAATTATTAAACGAACACAATTTGTATCAGCATTTTAAAACAAAATAGCTTGAAAAATAATTGAAATGCTTATGGCTTGAAGTCTATCTTATTTCAAATTTCATTTAGCTTATTTTGGCTTCAAAAAAATGTGGTACAAAACAATTTTTGTTCTTTGATTTTATTGTAATATTTGTTAAAATTTATTAAGAAATAGGATTTGTCCTATTTTTCTTGCTATTTTGGTATATTATCCAATTTTTATACCCGATACTCAAAATAGGTATTGGGGTATATTAGATTTGTGGTAAAAGTGGTTGTGTGTAACGTCCAGAAGGAATCGTTTCCGACCCCATAAAGTATATATATTCTTGATCAGCATCAATAGCCGAGTCGATTGAGCCATGTCTGTCTGTCCGTCCGTCCGTCTGTCCGTCTGTCCGTCCCCTTCAGTGCCTAATGCTCAAAGACTATAAGAGCTAGAGCAACGATGTTTTGGATCCAGACTTCTGTGATATGTCACTACTACAAAAATATTTCAAAACTTTGCCCCGCCCACTTCCGCCCCCACAAAGGCCGAAAATCTGTGGCATCCACAATTTCGACGATACGAGAAAACTAAAAACGCAGACTATATCTTCTAGATATATCTAGAACGAGGGGGAACGTGGTGAGCTGCTGCGGATACCGCAACTCTACATTTATACCCGATACTTAGTCAGTATGGCTGTCCTCCGGCAGACGCCGCTAATATTAAAAGACACGACAAAGACTGCGTGCGAGAGAGACAGAATATCAGTCTGAGCGTCGGGCGCTGCGTAGCCACTGCAAATTGATTTCTTGCTTTTGGCTACAAAAATGATCCGATCTGATCCAGATTCAGCAATCTGATAGATATGATCATTATCTATGATTCTGCGTTTTTAGTTTTTTCGAATGTGCAATATTGTGGATGCAACAGATTTTCGTCCTTTGTTGTGGCTGAAGGGGGTAGGGCGAAATTTTGAGATATACGTTTTATAGTGACATCTTAAAGGAGTGTGTGTACCAAATTTGGTTACTCTAGCCTTAATAGTCTCTGGGATTTGTGGATGCCTCAGATTTTCGTCCTTTGCGGGGGCGGAAGGGGGTGTGGCGAAATTTGGACACGAAACGGTCAAGGTCCGATATCACAGGAGTGTGGATTAGAGTGTCCCTTATGTTTCGAAAGTAAAATTTGACCACGCATACCCTCTATTTTTTTTACTTTTGTATCCAAATAACTAAAAAAAATTATTTTGGCTTTTTTAAATTACATTAAACCGTGCCGAATCGTGTTAGAAGTTAACATTTAGGTTTCTGGCAACCTGTTTGTTACTCGCGTCAAATTTAATTTGTATTCCTTGTTTGACTAAATATAATATATAAAACATATATACATTTAAAAGTATATGTTTTAAATATATATAACACATATGTATAACAAAAAGGTTAAATTTAAATCACAACGAATACGTTTGAAAGAAGAAACCCGGCAAAGAAAGCATGATTCCTCATTGGATGCGCATTCTTCGAATTTTGATCTTCACACACAGGTAATTTATATGAAATTATTCTTAATTATTTTTAGAACTTTACTATTTAACTTTGTAGGATGATTCACTGTCTAGCTTGGAAGATAGAGCTGAAAGCTCTCATAACTCCATGATAACCGAAAGTGGTCAGCCTCAAAACATAAAAAGACGTGGTAGCAAAAACTTCATCACTCCGAAGCTCTTGGCTGCCTTATATAGGTGCCAGCTTAGTGTAAGGGACTCTGTTTACGTTCTTCAAGCTACTGTAGAGGCACTTGGTTACAATTTTGATGAGCTTAGTATTAATAAGTCTACCATTTAACGAATTCGTACAGAAAGTCGGAAGAAACGCGCTATAGCGATAAAAGAAGATTTCAACAATAATATCCCACAAGTTGTCAGTCTGCACTGGGATGGAAAGCTTTTACCAGCTCTAGATGGTCGAAGCTGTAAGGAGGAACGTCTTCCAATTGTAATCGCATTTGACAATACAGAACAACTCATTGCAGTGCCACATCTGCAAAATTCGACAGGTAAAGAGCAAGCACAAGCTGTTTGGAATGCGGTTCTCAAATGGAATCTTGAAGATTGCGTACAAATTCTTGATTTGATACAACAGCTTCAAACACAGGTCGGTTTAACGGCACGTGCTTATTGTTAGAGCAAAAATTTGATAGAGATTTGCTATATTTTGCCTTTCGCCATCATATCTACGAGCTTGTGCTGAAAAGTGTTTTTGAAGTAAAAGTAGCAGAAATAGCAAGATATTCCAGATATTCCCCTTTTTAAAAAGCTTAAAGATACTTGGAAAAATCTGGACCTTTCAAAAATACAATCTGGTCTACAAACTCTGGAAGCGCACTTTAGCCGTTCTAAATATAATGAGTGGTTGGAATTTTTTCAAGCGAAACTGAAAGAAAATTTTGCTAGAGGAGACTTTCGGGAGTTAATTGAACTCTCCATAATATTCCTAGGTGGCGATATTGGACGGGAACAGAAAATAAGACCTCCTGGCGCGATGCATCAAGCTCGATGGGTGGCACGAGCAATTTACACCCTAAAAATGGCAATTTTAAGCTCTCAGCTCAAGCTCAGTAAATAAGAAATCGCAGCTATATACGACCTGTCATTGTTCATAGTATCTACCTATGTGAAACCATGGCTTGAAAGTTCCTCGGCTGTGAAAGCACCGTATCAGGATATATGCTTTTTAAAATCATTGAAAGAATATGAAAGTATTGATGAAGCTATATCAAAAGCAGCTTTGAAGAAATTTTGTCACCATTTATGGTATCTACATACATGATGAAATATCAATTCTCGCACTTTTTGATGACGACGTTACTTTTGATGTAAAGGAAAGAATGGTCACGAATTTGACTAAAAAAAATAGATCCAGTTTAGAAAAACGATATTTACCATCGATGGAAGATCTTAACGGTGCACCTTTTGGTAATTAATATTAAAACCTCTTAGTATTAACTCAAATATGCAATTTTTTGTTTTCTTTCCATTTTAGACAAACACATAGACGATTTCATATCTATAAAAAGCAGGACATCATTTGATCGCCTTAAAATTGATGACAGTTTTTTGAGTCTGTGCCCTTCATCATGGAACAGTAACCCATCTTACTTAAAAAGCAAGAAGAGTCTTTCATTACTTAAGGCAGTAAATGATACAGCAGAAAGAGCTGTAAAATTGATGCAAGAAATTCACGGCCGTCTAACAGTGGATGAGGAACAAAAAGAGTTTTTGTTACGTTGCGTTCAGGAGCATAGAAAAATGTACCCGGATTGTAAAAAGGAGACTTTAAAAAGAAAATAGTCCCAATAAAATGTTAGAGTTGCGTACATTGATTAAAATTTTACCTATAATATATTTTATATGTAAAAATCGGTGACAAAGTAAAATATCTCAAAAGCCTTTCACATATGTAAAACTTTGAGTGGGATTCGGCATGGGTTAATGACAAAATTTTCAAATAATATCTAAAACACATATACTTTAAGGCAAAAGGAAAAAAATACGAGGGTATGCGTGATTGAATTCGGAAAAAAAAATTTTTCCCCCATATAAGGGACACTATAATGAATATGTTCCAGTCCCACCTGAATGATAGGTGGCCAGGGCTGAGGGCGACGCGCCATCTAGCGGAAGTCCAGGGAGGCTCGATGGTGTATGGGGACATCGGGGGGAGCCGGAGCTGGTACTGGGGATATAAGGAATAGAATAGGATTAGTTACATGTATTAGTAAGGGAAAAAGGGATAAATAGGAGTGAAAATATTAGAAAACGTGGATTGGATTATGGAAATCGTGGAGCGTGGACGGAAGAGTAACGACGAAATTTGAAATTTTGTGCTTAAAACAGAAAGTTTGAAGTGAGTACGGAAAAAGGCGGGCGTGCAAATAGGTTGTAATGCAGGAAATTTTACTCACAGCCGGCAAGGAATACAGCCACCAGAACCGGGCCAGAAGGTTTCCGGAAGAGAAACACTGGAGTTTGAGAAAGTCGACGGCAGAGAAGAAGACTGTCCGACGTGAACCTGAGTGAGTTCGTTCCAGTTGCGTAAAACTGGATCCACTCATCTACACATATTCCATTACGTATGGGTGAGGGTATCCCTGTTGGTTGAACGAAATCTCAGCAGTTATTTCCTTGTTTGCCTTTGTGTCGAACGTTTTGGTGTTTCTTTTTGGTTAGTGATAATTTTGAGTATATCTATTTATTAATGAGAAAGATGAAATTGTCAATTTATAATTATTAAAGCTTTGATATATATTGAACAGTATTGAACGTAAGTCACTGCCGTTCAACAAAAAAATGGACAGGGAGTTTGCGACGGACACATTGCCTGGTGGACTGTGATATCGAATAAATCTGTGATGGAATGTGTTATTGGAATAAGTTAGAGTAAGTCATGTAGGTAAATGTTCATTGTAGTTTCGCACCTGCTTGTTTAAAACAAAACCGCTTTCGTGTTTTTGAACCTGTTGTCTGTCTGCCGAGAGGTGGTGAGAAGTAGGTGGCCCGGGAGTCGTAAAGACAACCCGCGATGCATCTGTTGTCATGGCAGATCGGTATGATGGATGACAGGAACAAATCACAAGCAAAGTGAGCTCATGCACCGTGAGGCTTCTCGTTCATCGGCCATCGCTTAGAGCGATGACTAGAGTAGATGAAAGGCCACACAAAGGTGGTGCTCGTAATTGTAGGATATCCGTAGCGGTTACTGGTCCCGGCTAGTCACGTGTCCCCCTCTTAATGAATCTTGTAAGAAGAAGAAGAACTGTTAGGAATTTTTGTTGTTAGGTTTTGTGTTGTGTTGAATGTGTTTGAAGTTTGAGTATCTTAGGTGTCGATCGAATATACATGTACATATGTTATTATTTATTTATTTATTCAAATATTTAATTGCATATATCTCGTTAACGGCGCTAGTTGGCGCAATATTTATATCGGTATTTATTTATCAGAGTATTTATTGGTCCGAAGCGTGGTGTTATTTATTCTTGCTAGTTATTTCTTTGGGTATTTATTTCTTTATTTATATATATTATCTTAGTTTAGGAGTTTCCCTTTTTTTTGTAGTATTGGTGTTGCTCGGTGCAGATGCCACAAGAAGGGGGTAGTCTACAGTATCATACGCGATCACGCGTAAACAAAACAGTGGACCAGATAGGAGAAGTGTCAGGAGCGATGTTTGATCAAGATCGGGAGGAACTTGGAGCTGTGGGTGGGTTGACGAGAACACCGGTCCAGGCCAGGTCAGAAGAATGGCCAATGTCCGATCCTACACCCACGCTTGCTTCCGAAATGGCATCAGCAGTCAACGTATCGTTGGCTCAGGCTCATGCGACACACAGGGCAGCGAACACTGACTCGATTAGTCGGGTGTTGCTGGAGGAGTTGCGTAAGGGGTTTATCGAGATGATGCACCAACTCAACGAGGTACTCCAGCCGGTTAGACAGCTGCAGCAGCAGAAGGAACCGCAGCGGGAGGAGGTTCACCATGAGCAGGAGTATCGAGGAGCAATCCCGAAAAGGAAGCCGTCTAGCACGACTGATGCGCCGATTCCGCCACCAAAACCATTTTTGGCTCGCTTGGGGCGAGGTGGTATTGGTCCGGAACCATCTTCAGGAGTAGGACCGACCGCATCCAGTGAGCAGCATCAACGGGGTGGGCATCAAGCGCGAAATTGGCGAAACCCGATAGCACTCAGACACTCGGGTCAGGGTCGTGGCGAGAGTAGGAGAGCTGGTGGGATTCCTCGAGAAGATCCTCATTCAAATCCCCCGGGTTATAGACCTTGGCCACGGTGGGGCCGAGTCGAAAAATGGACGTGACGTTCGACGGAGACAGCAACAAAATGACAGTCGAGGATTTTGTGTTCCGAATTGAATTCCTACAAGCCCAATGCCGCTGTCCGTGGGATGAAGTTCTAAAGGGATTTCATCACCTGAGGCACGGCGTCCGAGTGCGACCGCATGAGAGAACTGCGAGAAAGAATGCAGCGGTCAAACGAGAGTGTGGAAGACTTTTTCCATGTCATGAGAAAGCTCGCGTCGAGGTTGGAGATGCCACCACCTGAAAAGGAGATGGTAAAAATCGTCAAAAAGGCACTCACAGATGAGATAGCGAGTTTCGTCTACCGCTTACGGGTTTATTCCTTAGGGTTGCGATCCAAGCAGGCGAATCACGTTCACAGAAGGGGCCTGCGCAGAGAAAGTAGAAGAAAATAAAAATGAATTAGATAGACGTAATTTGCATGCTAGGGTAAGGAACTTATCATATGAAGAGCGCTTAAGAAATTATTTAGAAACCCGAAATAGAATATTTTCTGAACTACGAGTGGATGGTATGCGAGCGCTGTCGGTGCGGGTGAGAAAGGCGAGATCCCGGTTTAAGCAAAGGCGAGCTATGAGGAGGTAGGTGATTGCTTCAGTAAAGCGTTGTTGCAAGAAAGACCCGAGAGTTTTCGCAGAAATGTCTATAATGGGCGAGTCCGTGCGAGGCCTGTTGGATTCAGGCGCTACATACAGCATGCTAGAGTGTAATGGTCAGGAATTCCTGGAGAAGCTGGGCGTGGAGGCTCGTCGATATTCTTCTATAGTGAAGGTAGCGAATGGGGAAGATCGCGCAATCGTTGGCCGAGTAGAATTACCGGTGAAATACAGGGAGAGGTAAAAAGATTAACGTTTTTCGTATGCTCTTTCTTGGAACAGGAAATTTACTTGGGGGTAGACTTTAGGCGGGTATTCTCATTGGCTCCTGAGGTGATGGGAGAAGGTCCAGTAGGGGCATCTCACAGATTAGTGGAAGAAGTGCTGGCTGATCAAGTCGCTCACTATGTGGAAGGCCCGGAGAAGGAGATAGTGCAGGAAGAATGGGAGTTGTCAGAAGAGCAAAAGGCAGCCTTGGATCAGGTGAAGGCAGAGTTTCTGACTTTCGAAGCCGTAGGCCTGGGGAGGACGTCGAGAGAGACTCACAAAATTCAGTTGGTGGAGAAGGCCGAGCCTGTGAAGGATCGGCATTACCCGCTGTCGCCAGCGATGCAGGAAGTGGTGTGTGGTGAGGTGGACAAAATGTTGGCTTTGGGAGTCATCGAGTACAGTGATAGTCCGTGGAGCAACCGTACCACCGTGGTGCGAAGGCCGGGCAAAAATCGTTTCTGTCTCGATGCCCGAAAGCTCAACAAAGTAACCATCAAGGACGCTTACCCACTTCCTAGCATCAAGGGGATTTTGTCGCGTCTCGATCAGACGATATATATCTCCAGCGTCGACTTAAAATTCGCTTTTTGGCAAATCGAGCTGGACGAGCAGAGTCAACCAAATACGGCGTTCACGGTGCCGGGACGGCCTCTGTACCAGTTCCCTTTGGCCTCTGCAACACCGCACAACGCCTATGTAGACTGGTCGATTCGGTGATTCCGGTGGAGATGCGTTCAAACGTCTATGCGTATCTCGACGACTTGCTGATTATAGCTGAGGACTTCCAAACGCACGTGAAGATTCTGCGACAGGTTGCCGAGCGTCTACGAGAAGCAATTTTAACGATAGGGCTGAGCAAATCTCATTTTTGCTATTAAAACATTAAATACCTGGGATTTATAGTGGGAGGAGGAGCGCTGAAGATGGATCCGGATCGTGTGTCGGCCATTTTGCGCATTCCCGAGCCCCGATCTGTTCGAGAATTGCGTAGTTTCCTGGGAACTGCGGGCTGGTACCGGCGCTTTATGAAAAACTATGCTGAGATGGCCGGTCCGCTCACAGACGCCTTGAAAAAGTCGGGAAATGGAAAGTTTAAATTGACTGAGGAGGCAAAACGAGCCATGGGGGAGCTAAAAGCTGCACTCACCTCGGCACCAGTCCTGGTACACGCGGATTTCAAGCGCCACTTCTACATACAGTGCGACGCCTCACATTATGGGGTAGGAGCCGTACTCTTCCAACCGGATGACGAGCAGAACGAGATGCCCATAGCGTTTTTCTCTGCCAAACTAAATTGCCACCAAAAAAACTACTCGGTGACAGAGAAGGAGTGTCTGGCAGCCCTCATGGCGATCCTAAAGTTCCGCCCGTACGTAGAGCTTATGCCGTTTACAGTCATAACTGACCACGCCAGTCTCAAATGGCTCATGACCATGAAGAACCTGGATGGTCGCTTAGCTCGTTGGTTCCTTCAACTGCAGGCCTTCGATTTCGGCATAGAACACCGGAAAGGAGCGGACAATGTAGTGGCAGATACATTGTCGCGCAGTATTGAAGAGCTGGAAGTGGATCCGAGTAGTATCCTGGGTTTTGAAACGGTGGAGTTTGAATCTGGAGAATATCAGGAGTTAAGGAAGGAAATGATCCGAATTATCGGATGCAGGTCGGGATGGGGCAAGAAGTGGTCACTGAGCGCCCGTTCTAAAAACTTTATATTGATTTTTTGAGTAAATATCCGCGGTCAATGAACAGTCAGGCGTGGATATTTATTGTAGTTGACCAGTTCTCTAAGTTCACATTCCTAAAGACCATGACCAAGGCCACAGCAAAGGAAGTTGTAAGATTCCTCGTTCACGAGGTGTTTTACAAGTTTGAAGTGCCGGAGATGATTCACTCGGACAATGGGGCTCAGTTCGTCTCGAAAACTTTTAAGGAGATGACCGATGCATTCGGAGTCACTCATATGAGGACGCCAGTGTATTCTCCGCAGAGTAACGCAGCCGAACGCGTGAATCGCACAGTACTCAGCGCGATTCGGGCGTATCTGGAAGACGATTACCGGGACTGGGATGTGCATCTGCCGGAGATAGAACTGGCTATTAGGAACTCGGTTCACGAGGCGACAGGCGTAACACCATTCTTTGCAGTCTTCGGGCAGCAAATGTATTTGTATGGGTCATGCTACAAGCTGGCAAAGCGACTGCGGTCAATCGGCGAGCAGGACATATCGCTGCTGGAGGGTCAGGACAAGCGACAACTCATCCAAGAGAGGATTCGCGCTAGTTTACATCAGGCATACGAGCGTAGTAGAGTAAGGTACAATCAGCGAGCTCGGGTGTTCTACGCGAGGCCGGGACAAGAGGTATTCCGCCGAAATTTTGTCCTTAGTGACTTCGGCAAAGGCTTTAATGCCAAGTTCGCGCGCAAATTCATCCGATGCCGGGTAGTGAAGCCAGTAGGAGAGAACGCGTGTGCTCTGGAGGACTCCAGAGCTCTGGGCGCGGCAGAAGAATGCAGGGCACGCCGGCGTGTGCTCAATAGTGTTCCGGAATCCGGTGGGCATGCCCACGCGTATGTTGTCCCTCCTGGGACTGACGACATACTCGTGGTGGTGTTCCAGTCCCACCTGAACGATAGGTGGCCAGTGCTGAGGGCGACGCGCCATCTAGCGGAAGTCCTGGGAGGCTCGATGGTGTATGGGGATATCGGGGGGAGCCGGAGCCGGTACTGGGGATATAAGGAATAGAATAGGATTAGTTACATGTATTAGTAAGGGAAAAAGGGATAAATAGGAGTGAAAATATTAGAAAACGTGGATTGGATTATGGAAATCGTGGAGCGTGGACGGAAGAGTAACGTCGAAATTTGAAACTTTGTGCTTAAAACAGAAAGTTTGAAGTGAGTACGGAAAAAGGCGGGCGTGCAAATAGGTTGTAATGCAGGAAATTTTACTCACAGCCGGCAAGGAATACACCCACCAGAACCGGGCCAGAAGGTTTCCTGAAGAGAAACACTGGAGTTCGAGAAAGTCGACGGCAGAGAAGAAGACTGTCCGACGTGAACCTGAGTGAGTTCGTTCCAGTTGCGCGTGTGTGAGCCAAGAAGCGCGGGACGTGTGAAGGGGGAGGGTGAAAGAAGACGATTTAGCTGCCAGGGCGATTATAGCCACATCGCACGATCGTTGCATCGCCTTTGGTCTCATTCACCACGTAAAAACCCCGAAACCCTATTTACACACACACATGCGCACTATATAAATTTAGGGCTGACCGGCCACGGCCAGCGATCGCCCACGTCGTTTGAACTTAAAGAAAAAAAACATAATCCGCACTCCAAACACCGTTCCACATTAAATGTTATTTTGTTTCGTGTGTTGTCCTTTATTTAGTAATTAGTATTAGCTTAAACCGTTTAACGTAACATCTTGGCCATTGAAAAAAAAATATGTAAAAACACCAACACCTTTCACGAACCTAAATCTGCGATCAGCTGTTCAGGTCCAGAAGATTAACCCTTAGTGGGTGACGCGGGGGTCCCGTCAGTCCACCGTATTTGGTCGAGCGATTTGTGGAAAAATATTGTTTATTGTTTATGTCCCGGGGACCCCTAACAAGAGCTCTTGGTAGGTTAAGTCTCCGTAGGGGCCCGAGTTAAATTAACTCCCGTAAAACTGGATCCACTCATCTACACATATTCCATTACGTATGGGTGAGGGTATCCCTGTTGGTTGAACGAAATTTCAGCAGTTATATGCTTGTTTGCCTTTGTGTCGAACGCTTTGGTGTTTTTTTTTGGTTAGTGATAATTTTGAGTATATATATATATAAATTGTCAATTTATAATTTTTAAAGCTTGGATATATATTGAAGCATGATGCAGTAAATTAAAATAGAGGGAGGACGCGTGGCGTAAGCCATGGATTAGGCCAGCCGTTACCGTTCCAGCAGAGGGTGGCCAAAATGAACGTTGTGTTTGGTCACAGGTAGGGCGGGCGCGCGAAGTGATAACACCCAAGCTTCACTCACTTGATAGCCGTCTGTTTATGATTTTCTTTGTCGTTAGGTTGTTGTTAGTTTTGATGTCACGAGAAGTAGTATGTCTCCTTTCTTGTCTACATTTGGCGGGCAAGGGGAACTACCCAGCCCTGGGGTCGACAGCTAGCCGGCATTGCCCCCTGGGAAACGAGCCAAGTGTAACAAATATGCTATATTTTCATGCTGTAATCAAGATTCGTTTTGTTGTATAAACATCCATTTAACTTTCATTCCGGCGACGAAAATGCTTATGTTTTGAAAGCGGAGATATCTTGCATTTTGTGAAAGCGTGAGCATACGGGAGCGTACGCAGAAAGTTCGTTTGGTACATGTTCGTACGAACTGACACACCTATCATCCCAGGGCTGGGTACTTCCCAAACCCTCAGGTCGCACAATATACCAACTAATTGGACATCTCGAACAAATTGAAACAACAAAAGTAACCGACAAAAAAAAACGGCAAACGTACTCTACTCGACAAACAATATTACAGTAACTTCCTTCAACACAGACGTGGACCAGGTCGAGGTGTCGATTTTTTTACCTCTGACGTACCCACCCTACCTGAGATCCGAATCACAACGTTCTGGATCTCCCTGCCATGTTCAGCAGCCTTACCCTCCCGTTGCTGTGGCTCCTCTTCCCACCATACGAAACGATTAGCAATTCATTTTCTTTCTTATAATTTTCACGTTCCTACTTTTACATGGTATCATTGCTTAACTAAGCCTGCCTATTCATTCCCCCTTCATCTTAACATTACGGGCGGTTAATAAATAAATAGATAAATAGGAATAATAATTAATATAATAAATATAAATAAATTACATATATAAATAGATATGGACGGACTTAAATTAGGGGATTAACATGTACATATAAGTGGAGATTTCTAACAATAATAAATAATGGAGCTGTGACCTATTCCTATTGTGCTTTTTGGGTCTACTTTCCGTCCCGCTGATCAGCTCCAAAGTTCCTGGTGTTTCACTGATCTTGATCCCCTGGAATCACAGATTTATTTATTTTTTCTTTCAAAACTAAAAAATCACGGCACTTTCTCCGTCAACCGGCGCGCATGCTCCTCCGTTGCGGGAAATTTTTACACTCAACCCCCTCTTTGCTTAGCTGCTCTGTATGATGCTCCCGGGCCACTGATCGCCATCGCTCTCTTCTATCGCCCTTGAACTAGGTTCAAGGACATGGCCTGATTCGGGCTGCTGGCGGCTCTATTTCTTTGGGGTGTGGGTGAGTTGGCTTCGGGACTCCGTTATGGGATGAGATCGGAAATCCTCTCTCATAACGGCTCCGGAGAGCGCGCGGAACTCTCACTCTCCAGGACCAGGTGGCGCCACTCTTCTCTACCCTTTTCCCCTAAATTTTGGCCTTGCCTCTCTGTTCAAACTTCTTTCCTCCTCACCGCTTCTATGGGGTATCGCCTATCGATATCTTCGCATGCAACAAGCAAGTGAAATATATGCCTTAGTTTATATTTGTAGTCGTTCTTCTGGCAACACACAATTTGGGATTTAAATTGATACCAGGTCATATTTTTGCCATGACACTGTGCTGTTAGGCGCATTCGCGCCAACCTGTACGCTGTTATGAGTAGTTGCGCTTAACAGTACGCTGTTATACCCAGCTGTCAAATGCAACTCTGCCAACACGCCATATTGTGACAGCCACTGTCTTGCTCTCTTTCTTCTTAGACCATTCGCCATACAAGATGGTAATTGAAAATTTTTATGTTTTATCAGAAAAAAATCGCCAAATTTTTGTGACATCCGTATATATTTCGGTTTAAAAAAATGATTTTTATTGTGTATACGCGTTAATAAATGTGATTTTAATTACATATTTTGCACACCTCCTGTCAAAAGGGCTTATTTCTACAAAACAACAAATCTGGCAATTTTGTTTTGACTAAAATCAGTAGACCTACTGATCCAATACTAATAAAGTTTTGCTTTTACAGACGAAGGGTACCTCCAGCTTTGGTAAACGTCATAACAAGACGCACACTCTGTGCCGTCGTTGTGGACGCTCTTCGTACCACATCCAGAAGTCGACTTGTGCTCAGTGCGGCTACCCAGCCGCCAAGTTGCGTTCGTGTAAGCATCCCCCATTTTTCCTCTTTTGCTGAAATTGACTCGATACTAATTATTGTTATTTCCCCCCATACAGACAACTGGTCCGTGAAGGCCAAGAGGAGGAAGACCACTGGCACTGGCCGCATGAGCCACCTGAAGGTTGTCCGTCGTCGCTTCCGCAATGGTTTCCGCGAGGGCACCCAGGCCAAGCCCAAGAAGGCCACCCAGTCCGGCAAATAAACCCAGCGGTTTATTCCTTGACCAGTACGGACAGCATCATCGCAACAGCAACAAAAAAAAAACTTTCATTAGCTGTAGGCCTTAAGCCTTAAGCCGTCTCCATTTGGCTTCGAGAAGCTTTCCCGTCTGGGGGAGCTTTCTTTCAGCTAATAAATGAACGTTATTTGGTTAAGTGAATTTGGTGCTTATTTTTTTTCGTTGAACCCTGTGAACAATGTGCCCTCAAAGGGAGGCAGCGGCCCAGTGAACACGAGTTGATCCACAAATGTGCTTGTTATTTTACCCCACTTTTTTTTACTGTGAAAGCAAACAAAACATTTCGCCGCTATACCCGTAGCGTCGCCCGCTGCTACCCCGATGCGCTCTCTGGGCGTCAGTCCCATCATATAGCTGCCACACCGGACGGAGCCTTGCTTCTTGGATCCTCGTTCATATTCATATGCTTCATTTGTAACGTGCGGCTCAATATATAGAGACAAAGGAACGTCGCTGACTCGTCATTCTGTGGGATAATTTTTTTATTTATTTATTTATATCAACACTGAAGTGACAACAGTCCCCTGTTACGCTTGCACTTCCTGAAGCAGCTATATCAGATGACCACTGAACATTGCTGGAGTTGTGCGCTCTGCAAACAAATCGATATGTTGTACCGACCCTAGTTGGAGGTTCCGTTTCGCTCTTACAACTTTGTACCAAGGGGATAATAGTACAAACTGGTTTAGTCTTCTCAGCTAACTGCCTCTACACTGAAGCTGTGCTTTAAGTCAATACATTGTCTAGGAAGGAGCTATTAGTTTCACATTGATATCTACTGAGGGAAACTGACAAGATTATTCTGATAAAACGGGTGTGCAATTGGTTGATAATTCAACCGGCCGAATAACGATTTACTAACACAAAAACTTACCTCGTGGTCAAAGGTGGACTAGAGAGTGTCTGTGCCTTGTCTCAATTCTCCCATCAGAAGATAGTATGCTGATCAGTTTTGGGACATATTCTGGTCATAAGGTAACCATCTTTTCAACATATTAATACATTTTATTAATTAAATAAGAATAAAAAAGCTGACATTCGACCTCGCTTAAGGTAACGTAAGTATTCTAAGAAACAAGGGTCCGACAGCCGCAGTCTGGAATGGAGCCCGGATCTGTCCAGTGCGATGACTACTGCGTGGACCCGGTTTGTGCAAGATAATATCGTACAGAAAGCAGTGATTGATTGGTTTATGACTACGAAACGGTTCTCATTTGTCGCTCGATTTGACTAATAGTAGAATTTACAATGTATAAAGCGTTCCACTATGACTAAGGGCGGGAATCTGTATTGAGTGGGATATGATGGGATGGGATGGGGGCTGGATGGTATGCGCTGGGAGTGGTTATGCGGAGAGTGGGGGGAATATCTAAACGTATTGCCACTAAATGCTAAGAGACATTTACAATTTACAGCTATGAATATTTTTGTTTCCAGACTATTCTGAGTGCTGGTGCGGATGGAGGGCAGAGCTAAGCGGCTTGGCTGTTGTCGTGTTCGTTGTCGCTATGCCTGTCCCTGATTCTGGTGTCACTGCTGTTGCGGTTTCTGCTTCTGCCACCGCTTTTGTTGGGAGCGCCTTGTCCTTCGCTGTGCCGTTGGCGGAGCTAGAGAATGGCCGCTTGATGAGCAGCTTCTTGAGGTTTTGGAAAGGCGCATCGAAGAGCACCGTCAGGGCCACAGAGGCCAGGAAGATCGATATGAATTCGTTGGTGTCGAGCTGAAAGCAATCAATGATGGGCGTTAGACCAGGCTGCTACTTCCGGAAAAAATTCCCTTCCAATTTGTACTCACAATGATCGAAACAAAGTTGTAATAGTGATGAATGTGACGCCTTCGGCCGACGTTATAGAAGAAGACGGGGAACTGCGTCAGGTAGATGGCATACGACAGCTTTGTGGACACCTGGAATCCGCGCCAGGCAAACAGCTTCGTCAGTTTATCTACAAAATATTCAAGTGTTCAGTTATTGAGTCAGCCAGTAAGAAGTATGTGTATAGGAATCAGGATTTGCTTACTCGTATAGCCATTGTGCGACACAAAGACGATCCAGGAAAAGAACAGACACCAGGCAATCGGGGCGAAGGCCGCATAGATAGCTGCGTGCGTCGAGTTGTACACGTAGTTGATGTCGCCCATGGGCGCGGGGCCGAGCACCGAGGCCAGCACACAGACCGTAGCAGCCGTCCATCCAAGACGCAGTTGCAGGCTGCTCAACTTTGCGGACTGGTACTTGCGCAGAACATAGCCCAGCAGGATGCCCATGATATATACCGTGGAGCGGTGCGGTGGGAAGGAGTACATGTAGTCGGCGGTGCGAAACAGACGCTGAATGCTAGTGACGCGGATAGGATGAGATAAGATAAGCTATGATTTTAAACACTTTCGCGGGAGCTCGTCTACTCCCAACTTACTTGGTGCCAAAGTAGATATAGTTGGACAGCTGGTTAACGATCGTTGTGTAGTAGCGAGCCGCCGTTCCCACCGTGCAGAGCAGCAACAGCGTGAAGAGGCCACGACGTGGCCAGCGCCAGAGGCCCAGGATGAGGATCGGCGCCACGGCAAAGAGCTCGGTATCGATGCCCAGGTGGTGCGTGTGCGTCAGGCACATTTCGCTGAAGCCGAAGTAGTTGTGGATGAAGAGCAGATTGCGCCACCAGTTCTTCTTGCAGATGTCGGCATGGTGACCCACCACGAGGTTCCACTGAGGACCCGAGCCCCACAGCGGCAGCACGTATGTGCAGAACAGTATCAGAGCAGCCAGAGGCGGGACAATACTACAAAGGATCCACCATTTAGATAGGGATAGTCGGCATATGATAGCTTACTTACCGCATCAGACGGCTGATGTACTCGTTCTTGAGACGGATGGGCTGACGTTTCATGAGCCGGCCGAACAGCGAGTAAGAGGTGAGCATGCCGCTGAAGAGCAAGAAGGGGTCCGTGTAGAGGGAGGCGGCGCGCCCGATCACCGTCCACGGCTGGCCCAGACTCTCGGACATGGCCGTGCGGTTGTTGTAGGGATTGAAGAACATAGCCATCGACTTGTGCGAGAAGATCAGCATGATGGCATTCAGGAAGCGAATGCCATGGACCGCCTCAATGTCGCCTGGTGCGCTGTTGGTGCTAAACAGCCAGCGGAGGTTCTTATCCAGCGAGAAGGCCGTACACCAGGCATCTAAAATTAATTGTTTAGGTATCTCCCTTTTTGATTACTGTATCCAGCTACTCACTCTGCTTCGGCTGCATTTTGGTAGATCGATCGTAGATAGTGGCAAGGATTGCTACGGACAGGACGAGCACAAAGAAGCGCACTGCCCATGTGGTGTTCCGGTCCCAAGGCTGCTGATCGCGCACCTGGCACATCTGTTGCTCCACGCGAACATTGAAGCTGATGCCCGTCGCCGCCGTCTGGTTGCTCAAGTACTCGGCCACGGTGTACTCCACATCACGGGCGGAGCAGCCAGACGGCACGCACAGTCCCCAGTTGATAAGCGAGTAGCGGGGCACACGGTGGCCGGGCTGGAAGAGAGACCAGGGAGAGTAGCGAGTAGCCGATTAGCGAGCGGTGACGAAGGTGATGTCGATGCTTATTCCCCAACCTGTTGCTTTTAATTGAACCGCAACGAAGCGGGCCGACCGCGTCTCACAGCAATAAACATACTGTAAAATGTACACACTCGTACATACATATGTAGGTATGTATGTACATATATGAAATATAATACTATAATAAACAAATCCTAGTTAATCGCGAATTAAACTAATTCAATTAACCCACCCGGGTTGATTTGGCCCGGTCGGCGACATGAATCGTGACATCATTCCAAGCGAAAGTCGAGCCCTGGCCGATCCGAGCTGTAGGGTTCACTGGCCCCGCCGCGTAGAGCATCGGCGTCTCGGGTGTGATTTGCATTTTATGGCAATCTATCGCGTTTGATTGCTTTCGACTCGATTCGTTTTGTTTGCATTTTCGTCTGTCTCCTTCAAGTTCAATGTCGACGGCGATGGCTGCGATGGCTGCGATGGCTGGCTGGCCTAGTCGCAGCATAATGTTAATTAAACCGAACTTTCACATACATATGTATGTATGTACACATGTATGTATGGATGTAGCTGAAGCGCGCTAGAAGGCACCGGAGCTGCCTCTGTTGTGATGCCACTTCCCATCCCCCAACGACTTACATCATTGAACTCGCTCTTGAAGGGGCCATGCGACTGGATCAGCTTGAAGAAGGTCTGCAGACGCTTGGACTTGTGCGGCAGCACTGGCTGCGCGTAGGCCAGGCAGTACTGTCCCCGTAAAACTGTTTCCTCATCCTTTAGGGGGTCCCCGCTACTCATCCGCTGCTGGATGGCCAGGCACTGGTCAAAGTCGCCCGGTTGGTTGATGTTGCCGTTCAGTATTCCGGAGTTCAATCTTCCGCTGGAGTCGTGCACTGCGTTATAGCGGGGTAGAAATAAAAATAGAAATTCTTAAATTAGCAGACGCATGACAGAAGTTGGCAGTCCTTGGCTCTGATTTTTCCTATGCCATAAGTTGGCAGTCCTTCTACATACATATGTACATATGTATCTATGGATATAGATGCGTGTCCATCCCTTTGCGTGTGTAAGTGCGTGTGTGCACCTGTTAATGTGCAAATGTGTTTATACAAGTGTGACCTTGACTGTGATCGCAACTCGTTTGCGTCTTTCTGGTTCTAAGCGTCGCTGCCAGCTGTTCGGTCAACGTCGCTGCCGCGTTTCTGTCGTCTTTTGTGTCAAGTTCGCATGGAATTGTTGTTGATGCTTGCAATTTTGTTGCAGTTGGCATTGTGGTGGCTGCCACATGCATATATGTATGTACGTACATACTCGTACGTACATACATATGTATGTATGTGAAGCTATGTATGCATATATGTATGTATGTATGTGCATAGATGTGTGGCTGCTGCCCCCCAGCAAATGTGGGTAAAGTTCGTCGATTGGCCTTCACTTTAGCTGAATGACACATGCACGAACATGCACTTGCAGCTTAGATCTTGCTCGTTTGTGTTGCATTTGACTTTGGAGTCTATCAATTCATGTCGACTCGTCTGGCGATCATGCAGCGACGTCGACTGCAACTGCAACTGCAACTGCGACTGAGCCATCACCTGCGGCCAGTTGGCAATGACTCGAATTCGAACCGAACCGAACCGTACCGAACGAACCCCCAATTGGCTCTCCACTTGCAGAACTAGAACCCGCAGCAGTCTCCACTTGTGGCTTACTCACTCTTCAACGCCCACAAATCGAAGTTGTCCAAGGCGTCCAGGTACTGGCGCATTTGCCGGCGGCACAGGGTCGAAGCATCTGGATGTCTGGCCGGATCGAATGGCTGTGTGAGAGCCAAGAAGCGCTTGCCAATGTTGTGCAGATAGGCTAGAACGACACAAATAATGCAAAATTCGATTAGAATCACATTTAAATGAAAAAAATAAGCAAGCAAAGGTGAGTGTAGAATCTGTTTATCATATCATTTGCTCCGATTCACATCCATCATAGAATGCAAACATGGATCTTTATTCACTTATCAGTTTCCTGGCGTTCCATTCCATTCCGCTCGTTCCTTTTATGGCTTGCAGTCAGAATACAAAATTGTACAAGGTCAGGCCCCAGCAGCAATGGCGTGGCACGTGGCGGCCGCAAACAGGAAGTCGTATTCTGTCAATCAGCCGCGTGCCCAAGCCTTTCTGGGACGGCATCGATTCGCTCTAGGTCTTGAGCAGATTGCATATAAACGATTGGCTAATGAGGCGCCACAGGAACTGCCGGGCTCAGCCGAAATGGTAAATGGAGATGCGTCTCCAAGAAGAGAGCAATTGAAACGCGTGGACAGGACCAGGCTCAATGCCAAAGCCCAAGCCCAAGCCTAAGCCAAACCCAAGCCAAATCTCGGTCTCTGTCTCCGGCTGGCCTCTGCTCTTCCATCATCAGCATGCCGGGGGCAGCGTTGGAGCTTTGTTCTGGAGCTTATTAACATTTCCATTTTTATGCTGGGCGAATCTTCAAAGTGGCCAGCACTCATTACGAATGCTGAGCGCGTTTGTGGCAACAGCGGCGATCCATCAGTGGACGCTCCGGCTCTGCTGCCTGGATCCGTCTCAGAGATTTCGATGGAGGAGGAGATGGAGGCAAGGGTGGCCGTCTGGGCAGTCCCCAAACTGCTTAAATGCGTCAGAGTCGAGTCGGACGAGCTCTGACTGCGGAATTCGGCCTGTCGTCATATTCTATTGAGATACGAGACGCGATCCCCACGATTGATTTTGGATAGCTAGTCAGTCCAATAGACGAGGAAGAATTGATAATTCTATGATACCCAGCCGAGCACTCCACCAAGCAATCGTGAAAGTCTCTGGAACTGACACTGGCACTGGCTCTGGCACTGGCTCTGGCACTGGCACTGGCTCTGGCTCTGGCTCTGTCACTGACTTTGGTTTCATCTGCCTCCAGCATAGAAATGTGGCGACAATGGAGCGCGATGGGAATCAGTTCCAACTCGTTTGTTCCCTTGCCTCATTAGCAAAGCAAATTATGAAGATTTCAGAAGTTGATATAAAAAAAAAAATCAAATCTCTAGAACGGGATATTTTGTAACTATTGTTACTTTTTTATTTAGTTTTAAACTAAAGCTACACAGGAGGCAGGCATTCATCGAAGATTCTTCAGAAAGTATACAAAGCCTTTTCAGCTAATGGCAAGAATGCAGCATGTTGAAAAAATCAGGAAAGATGTGCTCTCTCTGAGATGCTATATAATCAACTGGGGCTTCATTTAAGGAGGAATGGTGGTTCATTGGATGGGTTCATTTGCTAGACTCAGACGAATGAGAAATACATGAGTTTTTCTTGGGTTGAGGACTGAGGCGACCGCCTGCAAATGTCGCCAACAACAACCATTCAACTTCAACCTATAATAGAGAATGCCAACCCACATCTATGCTGAATGGCTTAAAGATATGCATGCTAAGTGGCTAAATAGCCGCCGCAGCGGAATGTTATGTAAGCCAAGAATCGCACATTGGACCTGGCCAATATTGTTGAGCGCGGCTTAATTAACTGCATTTGGTGTTTCTCTCTCTCTCTCGTATACTATCTTTCGCTGTCGAGAGCATGACCCACTTGGGAAATCTGCTAACTGCCCAATGCTGTCTGCCGACTACCGACAGTCGCTGGCTGCCAGCTGGACAGCGGAGCATTGCCCAATCCTTCAGTGCAGTGCGCAATCCTTGGCCCGATTGCCCAACACTGTTCTTGTTAGTGGACCGGCTTTGGCCAGAGCTGGTGCTGGCCAGAATGTATGTACAATACGTGCACTGTACATTGTGCTGGTTTACGGGCAACGGGCGATAACTGTCTGTGTGGAGGCTTGATTCGATTTGATTTATGCCTCTCCTCGCCGCGGCTCGGTTCGGATTTGATCGTTTCAGTTCATGTTTATGTATCATAAACATTACAGCTCTCATTGTTTTCCCTCGAGTGAGGCATCTTAGCCTAAGGTATAACATCCAGAATCACCCCTATATCTTGAAACTTTAACTAAATATCGAGTGAAAGCCCCTCAATGGGTAGAAATCAAAATGCAGATACGCCAATATAAATGCATAGACTGCTTGCTTCTGCCAAGGGATTCCGACCCGGAAGGGACCTGTCTGCTAGTAGAGGATATTTATCTCTCGGCTGCGAGGGCTCCATCCTATTTTAAGAAAGCTTAACGTTTATGGTGTCAGATCTCTTAGAACGAAGCAGGTAGAGACAGACACCTTCCTTCCTGTAGAAACAATCGAAACAAATTGATCAACATTTGTCATCGGCAACATTGTTTGTTCCGAGTTTCGAGTAAACATCTAAGCTCGTGAACGGCTGCTGCCCTGCTACTGCAACCCGATCACGATCGATTTCGGCCCCCGGATGATCTGTGTTTTGTGTGGAGCATATTTACTCAGCCCCTGAGCCCGGCTCAGGTCTCGTTCGAGCGCAGCTGAATTCCAATATTTGCCAAGCAAATTGGCAGCTCAACTTTGGCTTGTCTGGCGCTGTTTGTGCTGTGCTGTGCTGGTTGTTTTTGGGGAGTGTGGAGTAGTGTGGAGGACTGTGGGAGCCATTTGCCACCGTTTCGATTTGAGTTCGAAGTTCTCGTATCTCGATGGGTTGCGATATCTTAAGTTCGATTTGAAGAGGTTCTTCATCACCATCATCGTGCCCATCTCCATGATCATCATTGTTGATGTTACGAGTTTTGACTGCGGATTCCTGATGTCTCTTTGAAACAAGTTTATAGCTTTATGGCGGCATTTAACGGTACTTTGGATTGCTAAAGCGGTGGATGAATGATACGAAACGAAACGAAACGATATGCGGCCCGTGGGCGAGACAAACACAGCGAAGATCAATTACAAACAAGCGAGCCACAAAGTGGGCAAAACCACTTAGACTTGGGCTGGACTGGGCTCGGTCGCCAGTTCGGGAATGTGCTTGAGATGGGCTAGGATGGGATGGGATGGAACGGGACTCGTTAAAACATACGACTCTTTCTCACTCACTCTGGGATGTCTGTGTGGTGAGGGGCGTATGTGAATATGTCTTCATTAGGCTACGCTTTTAATGCTAGGGAATTGGGCGAGAAGTGCCTCAGGGCACTTCCGCAAAAGGCATGCTAGATGCCCACGATTTTCGATTCGAAGCGCTAATTCTGGTGTTGGATATCCATCCATCCTATCTTAGTTGATTCCATACTCTCTAATATGGGAGACAGCACACAGGCCTACAAACTGAATGCCTTCCTTAGCATCTGATTGCAAGCATCAATCTACATTTGGGATCTACGTGATCCTCGCCGTGATATCATGGCCGATGGTTAACCTTAAGACGAGTGTTGGAAATTTGATTACGTGAGACTTCACACATTGCTCTGGCCAGCAGTGACACTTCCTCGAAGAACGAAGTCGGGGGGCCTTCCCCTGCTCATCCCAGTCATCAACATCCTAACATATTCCGCAAATAACACTCGTATTTGCACTGCCACAGAAAATAATAAAAAGTGAGACCAAACAAGGCCAAACCTTTTAACAAGAATAAGTGCACAACGTTAACGACTGGCAAAACATCGATTAGATAAGAGATCATTGCTAGGCGGATGGGCACTGTGATGTGATGTGCCGCGCTGTACTGCGGCAGGAAATAGCAGCGGCAGATGCGTCATTACGGGGCTGCCGCGTCAAAGTCCGATTTGCATTGGGCAATTGGGCAGTTCTTGGCCGAAAAGGGGCTTGGTCACGTCCATTTGTCGCTTCGATGCGCGTTCAAGTACGGAGGTCTTTTGGGCCATTAAAGCATGGACAGCCCTCGCCCTCGCCCTCGCGTTCGCCATCGCCATCGCCATCGCCTCGGCAAAGACCTGGCCAAAAGTGATTGCGGAGCAATTGATTTCACTTGACGCACGCGCCTCTTATGCAACATTTCGCTTTGGGTCACAATCAAAATCAAAAGCCGAAGCGAATGTCGCAAATGGCCAGGCACGGGGAAGGACTGGTTTTGTCGGCTCAGAGGGGGGTGTGGGGATCAGCACATTAACCGCTTTGCATTACAATTGAAGAAATCGGTTAACAAAACGCCCAAGGCCACATTACCCCTTCAGAGTGCGTGTGTGGGCGGCGTGAGAAAGCTGTAATCGATACACGACACTCCCCTTACACTTACCGCGTTCATCCTCCTCCATCTGATCATCGTCGTCGGGCTGCCCCTGCCGCTCGGGGACAGACGTCGCCTGCTCCAGCTGGTGGAGCGTGAAGTTGGTGGGCGCGCCGGAGTGGAGCTCGCTGAGATTGCCCGCCTGGTACTCCAGGACGGCATCGTCGGCGAACAGCTTGAGGCTGTAGTTCACCTTATCCTCGAATATCGAGGCGATCTTGCTCTCCAGCTTGTCCGCAGACGCGTCCCCGCCGTCCGATCCGGGGCCGGCGGCTGGCCGCAGGATATTGTCCCCCAGGTTACAGTTATCCTTCAGGCTGCAGGTGGGCTGGACCACCCCATCTAGGGCCAGGCTGTGGCTGGGCAGGCGCAGGCCCAAGGCCAGTAGAAGAAACAGGTGTGGCAGGTGCATCCTGTCGAGGATCGCTGATCGTTGATCGTTTCCTTGCTGACTTTTGATTTCGTTTAGAACTTCTCGGCACTTTTGCACATAATCACAGACACAGCTATACGTTCAATAGGCAATGACACACCACAAAAAAATACAACGGTACGAACGATCTATGCAACCAAAGAACAGACCGGAGCGAATCTTCAGAAATCGAAGAAGCCTCAGCTATTTGAATGTCTGGATCCGTGGGTTCACTTTGGCCAGCGATAAATTAAGCGACCGCCAAGACGAAACATTCAACGTCAACTGATTGTCCAAATGCCGCCAAGCATGCGAAGACCGCTCAGGTTCGTCGGCGGTTCGGGGGTTTAGCAGCTCTGCTCCGCTCGGTCTCGGCTCACCTCAATCTCAGCGCCAGCCCCAGCCCCAGCCCCAGCCCCAGCCCCAGCGTTAGCCCCAGCTGGCTGAAAGTATTCATGTGAACGTATCGGTGTGCTTTGAGTATATTTCTCTCTCTTGGTGTGCGTGAGCCAGCCCGGGTCTGTGGGGGTATCTGTTTTAGCCGCAGACCCAATTTCAAAACAAAATGCAAACCGAATTTCGAGCTGAGACTGAGGCTGAGGCTGAGGCTGCACTTCTCACTCCATTCCCGAACTGATCCGATCAAGAATTGTGCATCGATTGCATGATCGTTCGCGGCTGTGAGCACTCAGCTGTTCAATCGTTTACCTGCGGGGATACTTGATGGGCCACCACCGCGACAATCGACCGACAATCAGCGGGCTTCCCCAGAAACAGACACATTGGGCTTGGCCCCCCTCCCTTCCACATTGCCATTATCTGACACCGCTTTCGAGCTGTGAGTTCCTAATTGTCCCAGCTGTGGGATCTATCCATTCTCCCCAAATGGCTAATATCACACGGGATGGGGATGGAATAATATAGATACAATCTAATTAATTACAGCATCACATGTTCGGGAATTTGAATGGTAGGTATTCTTGGCGACATTCCATTCGGGCTGCAACAAGATGGGCTGGAAATCAATCAGAATTGGATTATAACTAGAAAATTAGACAAGGAAACTTGAACACCGCTTTCTACCTACTTTATATACATATTTATGTACATATGTACTATTTATATAGTATGTAACTCCAATTAAGGTGGAGACATCTCTGAATTGAATAGAATGCTTAATTCTGTGTGAATTGAGGATTGTGGATTGGCAATTTTCGAAGCAGTTGACAAAGAGATGAGATAATGGCTCCAAGATATCCGATACACTCCTTATAAAGCCTAACAACTGACATTTGAAATGTGCAATTCCATCCATTTCATTTTATTCTTCCATTCCAAATCTTATAGGCCAAAATCAAAATAAAATGAGATCCAGTATTCTTAATTTGAAATATCTTTTATAATATGAACAATAAATTGCCCAAACTTGATTGCAATTGTTGCTCATTTATATATGTAAATGGAATCTCGCTAATTTGGCATGACACACCAGAATCGCAATTAAGTCGTTGCCAGATACAGATTCCCGATCTTGGGGTTAATGACACACACATACACTCCTGCATAGACTCTCTGTGAAACTGCGTTGTCCCTGAAGAGTTCTGCTGGGGATGGGCCGATGGGTAGACGGACAGGTGGATGGATGGGGTTGTGTCGCAACCATTTTCTTGCTGATCAATCGCATTAGAGGATAGGCACAAAAAGTTTGGAAATATAATTACAGCCAAGTTGCTATTTCTGTTGGCCAATAACTCGTTTTGATGACAACAGAAACAGAAACGGAAAGAGGAGAAAACAAGTTCCATGGATGGGGCCATGACGCGTGAAAGAATCGTTTTATTACTGCCCATCGGATGGTCTAAAGAGTGGGAGCTCAGGCGATAATCAATGAAAGCAAACCCCCTCCGATTCCGAGTCCGAGCCCATTACATGTTGCTCTTGGTGTGGCTGTGCAGCCAAAGAAATTCGCAATAGGAAAACTGACGCAAATGTATTGAAAGTGAGCCCCTGGTTGCCAATATCAAATTACCCAACCCGAACGGCCTACCAGTGAGCAATTTGCAGCACGGTTTGCCATAAATCGGATTCGGAGCCAGAGCCAGAGCCGCAGCCGAAGCCAGGCCACAGCCGGAGCCAGGCTGGTTCTTGCAACAGGCGCAAATTGCAAGCGGAACCAGAGCACCAAAACCAACAAAACTAGCCACTAAATATTTGGGTATACTCGAAAAGATCCATAGAAGCGGAGGAAGACTCGAATATGCTACGAGCTACGAGTCTGGTGCTACCCTTGCGAAGAGATCCTAAGCAACGAGCAGGTGCTCGTGTGTCCATTTTGTACATATGGGCTGTGATGCTTGGGTGACAAGGCTGGTGTATCTTCTGAAGAAACGATTATGATTAGGATCCTTTCTCCTCTTGCCTGATGCTCTGTAGCTTGCTGATTCCCGCGAATCGAATCACCTGTCTGATCTACCCCACCAAGCAAGTAAAATAAAAGGCATGCCCAAATAACCATTCTCTTTCGTTTATGGCCAAAGGAAGAATGTGGCAATTGGCTCTGACTGTGGATCCAGCCATGTCTGGCTGGCTGGCCGACTGGCTGGCTGGCTGTGGCGCTTTGTTTGGGGCCTGTGGCAATCTGAACGAGTTTTGGTTCCGCGGAACCAACGGCGACGCCGTCTCATTAACAGCTAGAGCAAGAGCAGAGCTGCAAGCCACTAGCTTTCAAGAGGCAACAGCCAACGTACAACCGGCAACGAACAACGTGCAACTTGCAACTTGCAACTTGCAACTTGGCTGCCCGCTCAGCTGACTGACTCTCTGACTCTATGACTGGATGACTAGATGACTAGATGACTGGCTGACTGCCAAGTGTGGCAATTGGGCAAATTTCTGACGTTCGCGTTGCCAATTGAAATGTTGTTGGCTTGGCTTTTTGGCATTTCGTGCGAATTCCCCTGGACCTGGACACCTTGTGGTTGCGGTTTCGGTCTCGTCTTGGGCTCCTCTTCCATGGTCCCTCGGTGCCTCGGTCCCCCGGCTCTCCAGTCCCTCGCGAAAGGCCATTAGCGGGGCGCTGTTAGAATTCTTGTTTGCTCATCAGCTGGCTCAAAAAGTGCAATAGGGAATACCACCAACAGAAAACAGAGGCTAATCTTCGGCGTGGAGTCGGCCCGTAGCTCCACGCAGATTATGTTAAGCCCCTTTTGTCATCGCCCGAATGCAAATGCATTAAGTGGTGCACTCAAACCGGTCGATCGCCCAAAACAAAGAGATGTTTCCAAATATTGTCCAATCCAACTGCAACAGCGTAGTAGTAGCAACAAAGATACTAGTATTGGTGGATCAGCGATGAACAATCAGCGTTACCAAAGATCGGGTCTTATGGGCTTTATGAGGTTGATCGTTGACTCGAAGCTGTCGGAGAGATGATGGCAACACTCACAGCTGGAAGGAAGGCATTGAGCCATGCCGATGACATGCCAAGACATGGCGCCTGTGCGGGGAAACATACTCGTGGAAACATGGAATTGCATGTAAGACATTGAATGGATTAAGAAGAAAAAAGCCTAATAATTTACCAAAATACAAAACAAAAAGAGTAGCTTGGCAGCGCTGGGAAAAACAACGATGAAAAACAATGTATTAATGTAAATAATTAAAAAACATTCAAATCGTTCCCCTCGTCCTAGCTTTGACAGCGGAAGATGGAAAATAGGTTTAATAAATCGTAAGAAAGATTCTTTAATTAAATTTCGTTTTGAAATTTCTTCTCGTACAGGTAGACAGGTGCTCATGAGAAAATAAGTTGGCTTTTCTGTGTGCACTCTACCGAATCGAACATACAAAGTTCTGACGAAATATATGAGTATACAGAGACTATAATTCCATTATTAGGTATTAAGGAATAAATTTAAGTCTTAGCACAAAATATGCCACGCTCGTGAATCTTCATAGAATAACAATAATATCCTAATGTCGAAAGTAAACTAGAGATAAATAAAGTTGATATCATAGAAATATTGAAATTTCACGATAGCCTCTACACACAGATAAGTGGATCCATCTCCAGGTCTAGTAGTGCACATGTGTGTAAAAGATTTCCATTCGGAAATTCCACTCCAATCAAAGCCCACTTGTCGCGGCCCTCGGCCCTCGGACCAGCGACTGTGGGAAGCCGTCCGCGTGTCAATAGGTTAATCGTGGCCTACCCCTCCTACCTTAAAGACAATGCACTCACCCATGCACTTCGGAGACGCTGTCTATGCGCATGATGGTAATAATGATGATGATAATAATGATTGATGATAATGATTACACTGCTGATGGCGATCAAGTTTTCGTCTCGCACAAGTCTTTTGTTTCGCTTTCGATAGGTAGGAGGGAGCTGACCAGCTGATAGTTCTTCTCTCGCTTTTGGGGCAAGAGGGAGGGAGTCCCGTTCATGTTTATGTATTTCATATGCACTGACGCCTCTGCCTCTTTCGTTTTCATTGCTACTGCTGGCGCTTCGACCTTCGAAGTTGTAACCCATTTGTGTACCCTTTCAATAGGTATTATGAATCTGAGGAAAGGATCACGATCACAGCTGATAACTACATCCGAGCTTCACATAATATCCATAGTAGAATAAATCGTCAAAGTTTTGTACATGTTTTCGATTAAAATCAGCTCAATTTGATCATTTATTGGATTGTTAAGCATATCTTTGGCCCTATGTATTATGCAGAACAAGCGCACTGGTCGTCGCTCTGCAAGGGTATACGACGCGTCGGGGCGACGAGTTTGGCTTTCATGCATTTTCATTTGAAATTTCGATTTCAAGTCGAATTTAATTTTCAGTGGCCCCACAGCCGCTGCAACGTTTCGTATGTGGAATTTTAAACAGTCTCTTGTTGTTTTTGGAAATGTGTCTCTTTCTTGGCCTCCTCTCTTGGCCGCCATGGAGCCTCTGCTCTGGGTTGCCGTTGCCCACGATATGCATATGACGATGGCTGATACTCGTAGACCCAGTCCAAGTGTCTTGTTGTGGCTGTTGTGCTTCTTTTGCTTTGCCTGCAATTTGAAGGGCAATGAAGCTTGGCTAATGCATATTGAGCCAGGCCCAAACCCAAGCCCAGTGCCAGACCGAGCGACAAACCATCGCAATCCATCCACATTGTTTTGCTTAATTTCTGTTTACTTTCATGTTTTGTTTTTGCCAGATTTTTTCCTGCTTAATTGCTCTTTGTCCCATTAACGAGTTGAACTAATGCTAAAGTTCAAATTCAAATCACGCTGAGTAATTAAATATAATTAAAATTA